TGGTGAAAGCACACCTCTCCAAATAATAAGAAATGGCAAGAATCATCATTATCTACAAATTGAGCTAGAGGTGGTATTTGCTGCCTTACAGTAAGAACCCTTCCCCTCTGCGACTCCTTCTGTGGGACTTAGTACACTCTTCTGCCATTGAACACCTGAGACATTCCTGAGCAACAGCACAACGCCCTCTATGCAGACCACTAGCTTCTGCTCCCAACTCAATAGCAGTAGGAAATAAAGAATACGAGATCACACAGGTGGAGTCAGACAGTGGCAAGAGGTGAAGCCACTGAGATAAAAGCACAGAAAGGTAGGAGCAACAAAGCAGAAAAAGGAAGAACACATACAGTAGGAAAGCGTTAATGACAGCAGTTTAAGACAGATGCTATTGTATGGTTTTATGCCTGCTAAACTGTGAAAGGCTGGCTACTCCTGATCACATTATCTGCAGTGCATAATGGCATTAGGTAGGAATGGTAGCTACAGAAATCTGGATCTTTGTCAGTTTATATAATGAGCGTCATGGCTGAAACCCTAGCCAGACAGCTTGTTCACTCACTCCCAGTGAGCGTTGCTGAGCTTAGAGCAATCGAGGCCCCCCCCCCCCCCGGGGCTCAAAGGATCAAGAGTGCAACTCCTATGGGTTGAGACAAGAACAGTCCAGCAACCAATGTACAACACAGATCACCACCGCTACCACCAACGACAACAATGATAAGAGAAAATGACAAGGGAAGAGAATACGATACCACCGGCCAAGAAACGAGTCCCACCCAGAAGCCCGTGTCCTTCCGGGTAACTCCCAGTTACCCACCACCCTGGGCATGATGTGCTGTGGTATGGAATACCTCTTTGGCTAGCCCGGGTCAGGCACCCCGTCTCTGCTTCCTCACAGCTTCCCGTCTCCCTGGCAGAGCATGAGCCTCACAAAGTCCTTGGTCAGGGTAAATATCACTCAGCAACAACCGAAAACATCGGTATCACCAGCACTGTTCCCAGGCTGGAAGTCAAAACACAGCACTGCACCACCTACCTCGAAGGAGAAACATGACTGCTACTGCTGAACCCAGGACAATGAGTTTCATCTTAACATCTGTATTCTTCCAGGCACTGATTCCATAACACTTTAGCAAAATCTGCCTGTGGAATAATTTAACTAACCATGAAGTTAAAATCTTTAGGAGAGCTCTGACCTTTGCAATGAAACACTAACTAAACTAAATGCTTCAAAAATACTAGCTGTAAGATTTCAGATAATATAATGTGAAACCTAGCTGAAATATGTTACTCCTTCATCCTGAAGTGCGGTACAAAGTGCACGCTGACTACACTGCCAATCCTATAAATACGAACCTCATGTTAATCTCTGTGCTAGTTTTAAGTCATTGCTGCTCCCTTTGGCATTGGTGCACAGAAGTTTTGTCATTTTGTCTTACATTTTTACAAAAGAAAAATGAAAAAAAAAATAAATGAAAAAAGAGTCTATTTATGTATAAAATGTGGTTTGTTAGAATTCATACTTAAAGGAATACATTTCTCTCATCTCATTCCCAGATCATACATACCATACATGCCCAGATCAACGTACCCAATACAAACCATCAGTGAAAAACTAATTTTATTTTGTTTTGCTACTATTCTTCTCACACTCTTTCTTATTGGTCGCATTTCATAGTGGGGTTCGCTTCAGTCCTTTGAGGAAACAGATGCAATGCAGATTTTTAACCTTGAATAAGCAAAAGTACCACCGGAAATTTTCAAATCAAGATATAGGATTCTTTACATTATAATTGGCATATAAATTTCTTTCCCTTAGAAAGAAATCTATACCAGCCATTAAAAAAATTTCCGTAAATGAAATCTAAGTAGAAGCACACTTCCCTTTACAACACAAGAAACTAGAATGCCAGCTACATAGTACTTTTCCTGACTACCTACCCTCTTCACACTTGACAAGGCAGGTACAAAGTGAAGAAGAACCCAGAATGCAGCCTAGGAAATTTTCTAATAGTATAAAAATTGGTGTACACTGTACCTGAAGCAATGACTTGTATGTCCCACAGATGTCAATGAGTGCAAGTGTTTAGATGGAAAGGTCAAAATCTCCTGTAGTGCAAACCCATTTACAACTCTGTCACAGCTTCTCAAAGCAAGCAAAAGAAAGCTAGACCTTACAGCACAGAGCCTATTGCCAAAAAAAGTATATTACAAACAAAGGGGATCACAGTCTTCAGTCATTATTGTGTAGCAAAGTAGCTCTGGAGAGGTTACCAATCATCAGTTATAACAGCTGCCTCTGCCCAGCAAGCTGATACCCTAGAACTTTAAGATCTGAGGGAGGACTCCTGTCTCCCACTGCACTGACTACCTGAGGGTCCCACCTTCCCCACCTCCTTCTCCTTCTCCTCACAGTGGCTCTGTGGCAAATGAGAACTTAAGAGCTTAAGCCTGAATCTAAGTCAGCAAAACTATTGTGGGAAAGTAGACAAGTGATCCATTTTCTGGATGTAAAAAAATAATTTTACAAGGAGAAGCACCCTGGAAAAAACAAAGATTTTACTTCTTTGATTGCTGAGACTAATAAGTGTTAGTACTTGAGGCAGGGAAACAGTCAGAGCTGGCCCTCAGCAAGGCAAGAAATTCACCTATGTGTGACAGAGACGAGACTGCTGAAATGGAGGACAGATGAAAACTAACCAAACTCAAAGGAAGAAGAATATTTATAAATTTAAAGATATTGGGATTTCTCCATGAAACAGCAAGCACTTGGAAAGCTGTGATAAATACCCTTGTAAAAGCAACAATAGACAATTTGGTTGGTCTGTGCTTTTTTTCCTGAGGTTCTGTTATTATGGGTTGCATTAAAACTTAATCTATATGTTTAGCCCAACTCAAAACCTCACCACTATTGGTAGTGCATAAAAGTCAACATATCAAAACTTTCAACTTCCTTATGATGCCTTTAGATGCTGCTATGAACTATCTACCATTATATTTACAGTCATTTCTTGCCCATCTGGCTATATTTTTACATATTCAGAGATATGAGAACTATCTAATGTGGAAAACAGCTAAAAAAAAAATACTATTTTGCTGCTTTTGCTTACACCAGTTCACCAAAAAGAATAAAATATACTGACAGAAAAACTTCTTGTCCTCTAAATTGACTTGTCAAAAATTTTTAGCACCAACTAAAATAATCTAAACCAGCCATAGAGAGAAGGCAAAATGAAATGCTGCCCTAACCAAGTCATTTCAGTCTCAGCCAGATATATCCTAATGCAAACACTGGCAATTTCAGCCTCTTTACCTCACTGAGAAAAAGGTGCCTTTCAACAAGATTGAAATCTGTGTCTCACAAATGAAACATGAATCTAACAAGTTCTGCAGTTGGACAAACTATTCTTAAAATCATCATCTTCTGTTGCAAACCGATATCTGAATTACATACATAGGCATTCAAACATTCAAGACTGTATTTGCTGTTGACCTTCATGGTTGATCTCATGTAGCAGGAAACATGGAAGAGTAAAGTTCTGAAGAAGATTGGTGCTATTTCAGAATTTCACTGTGAAACTGAAAGGTATACCTCTTGACAATACACAATCTAAAAAGGAGATATTTTGTGAGATTTGCATAACTGATGAATTTTGCAGCATTCATTTTAAAAATAATATGTGTAAAAATCTGCAAACCTTTTCTTTTAGGTACTTACTTTTCTGTCTGAACTATATTTTTCCTGAAACAAGTTACTGTCTGTTAAAATATTGGTACTTCTTGCAAAAAGCTTACAGATTAGTAGGTAGTATTTAGCTTAGGAGAAAGGCACTTCATTGCAAAAAGCTGTCATGCTGAAAATTATAATATGTTACATTTTATAGCTGCAGTGGCTCAACTTTTCTATCTAGTTAAACTGTCAGTCACTTCATAAACATGACATTAGGTACTGTCACCCAAGCAGAAAAGAATAGACTCATATTCTAAAATTAAACTGTCTTCTGTTTCTTCTGTTTTAAAACAGTTAAAATTTTATGTAAGACAATCTTTACTCAGAACCCCAACACAGTGCCCTGGGTAACTGGTATTAGATTTATATTGTCGTTCCCTGTTTTCCCACAGAGAAAAAAGTGAGAAATTTTTTTCCATGTTGTATGCTGCTGAAGAACTAAGAAACATAAAACTTTCTTCATACATACATGCAGCTTGATTCTATACATGCAGCTTGCTCTTTATGTCCCTGTTTAAATCAACAGAAAATCTTCCATTCAACAACAGGTTTGACCCATACAATAAGGAGTGAGCAGGTACACATGATGGTGCACTGCAAGTTCTAAACTGTAAATACTAACAACAAATCTAGTTCTCTCATCTCAGCTTTTTCACCATTTAAATCGGTAAAAATGTCAGTTTTACCTGCATTTTTCCTTCCTGCCCTCTACTTTTTATCAGCAAAGTTTTGCTAATAGTGATTTCCACTTTCTGCTTAAAGAAGCACTATGCAGAAGGTTTTGCAACCCATGTAGTCACGCCATAACTCGATACTCCTAACAACTGCATCATACTCTAAAACTAGTCTGATGGACTGCAAAATAGTACTGCGTAGTCACAAGCCAACCCATACAAGTCAGTATAAAGAAGCCTGGGCTCACTAAACCATGTTGTCTTCCATAAAGAGAACAGAATAGCCATAATCTTTTAGTGATTCAGATTACAGCTCAAAATCATAAGTAGTTGAACAGGTAATGCCAAAGGAATTGAGAACTGCAACTCATGAACAAGCAGTTTAGAACAGGAACTTCTTGAATCTGAGTCATCATGAATGGGATTATATCACTGAACTACATATCATCACTGATAAATATTCTCAAAAACAGTACCAAAGAAACTAACTGTCTCCATTTACATATCACCTATCACAATATTAATTAGTAACTTTTTCATTTAAATTTTTGTAATAGAAAATAAAAACTAATTTAGCATCTTTGAAATGGTTTACTTACCTCATCTAAGTCTTTAATATAAACAATTTTCTCTTCAATACCAATAGGCATTGGTTCACTATGTGGGATCTTTACCTCTTCATACATTTTATTATTTTCTCTCTGAACTGCCTCTGGTAAGATCACCTAAAAGAGTATTTCAGGAAAATTAATTGGAAGTATGAAAACAGAAAGTGTCATTATGTATAACTTACTTTGAACAATAGTTTCTCACTTTCCATCAAAAAATGAACCCAAACTAAAAGCGATTCTCACGGATTCATTTTATAGATAGCACTGAACCCCTAAATGGAAAATAATCATTTTACTACTCAGAAAATAGTCCCCAATAGACAAAAAAGAATTTCATAAAGTATTCCGTTTGTTAAAGTTAATTCAATGGTTTGCAAAAACAGAAAGAGAAAAATAGTACTTTTAATTACTTAAGTGACCCTAGAAGCAAAACCAAATACACTAGTTAAGAATGAGATTCTAGACTCTTCTAGAGTCAGAACCAGAATATATGAAAGTGTTTAAAACCTTCTGCAAACAAGTAGCATTTCCATTCATTGAACCTATAAGGAGGAGAAACTCTAAGAGAACAAAGGGAACCCTGCTGCACATAATTCACTGGGAAAGATGTACTGTTCACAAAGGGTCATACACCAAGCACGTACCTTTGCACCTCCAATGAATGCTGATGTTTTCATAGCTTCAGCTCGGGAATCATAAACATGTGGATAATGAATTTTTTCAAACTCCATCTCTCTCTGTCTACCTAGGACTGGCATACTTCGAGCATTCAAAAGTGCTAGCTCTCTGTGGGCAGAAAGATAACTGAAATAAATTGGCTTATTTTAGGCAGCCATTACAAAACCTGAATGTGGTATATTGAAGTCAGAGCAAGAGTTGCAGAAAAAAACATTGCATAAAATAATCGACAAGGGAATTTTACAGTGTTATTCTCTGGTATCAGTTAAACCAAATCCTGATAACACACTTGTTTAGATAAAAATTGTAAGTGCAATTCAGTAAGTGCAAGGCTTTCCTAAATACAGTTTTTCCGCTTTTCAAGCAATACAGCAACATGCATTTACTGTTAGATACCAATCCCACTATATTTTTCTCAAGACAAAATACATCAGCTTTTTTGCTCCTTATGCTCTTGCTCCTCTACTCTTCCCATTACCTTTAGCTGACAACATGGAAAATAGTACACATTAATCTTGGAAGGAAAAAAAGAAAGATAGTTATGATAGACTTAGTACAGACTTCATAAATCTTAAGCACATAGTGTGTGTGCAGGAACTAAGAAAGATAGTCTACCCCTCTAATCTGCATCTCCTACCCACACAGATGAGACAAAGCAGTGATCTACTTAATAAGAATCTTCATGCTTTCCCTGGAAATTAGGTTTTCATATTTAAAAAATTACTACACTTGCAATAAAACATGACTTGAAGTCAGAATCATGTAATCAACAAAGCAAACTAAAATAAACGATTATGATATGTTGAAGAAGGAATTACAACAGAAGTATTTCTCATCTGTTGGCATATATTACCTTTGCATCCGCAGCTCTTTGGGATCAAAGCACGTTAGTCCTTCTCCAGAAACTTCTGCATCTTCCCCAGTTTGTTTTTCTTTTCTGGCATTTCGCTTTTCCTCGCGACGATATTGTTTCATTAACAGCCTTTCTTGTTCTGACTGAATTGTAACTTGACAACCATAATTGGGCTTAGCATTTTCTCCTATAAACTTCTTGCACTGTTCTGCAATATGATAACATGTATATATCTCCGTAAGTATTGGATCCCGTCTTTGTTTTCCTCAGTTTTCTTCTAAAGGTTTGGGTTTTTTTGAAGCTTTGGTGGGGGTTTTTGTTTGTTTTGCTTTTGGTTTGGTTGTTTTTTTGCCTTTTTTTTTGGGGGGGGTGGTAGGCTGATGGCACACATCTTTAAAGGATTGGTTTGCTTTGTATAGATGGTAGTGCAGCAGTTGGCCTCAGGAAGATAAAAGAAGTACCAGTTCTTGTCCAGTGGTAGGACGTTTAACGTTACCATCATTAAGCAAACAAAACTTCTTCATCCCAAAGCAAGAGGGTGGGGCTAGCAGCAAATGGTAGTGGTTTTTTTTTTTCTCATTTCAGTATTTGTAATAAATTCACCAACAGTGGAAACGCCGCTTATCCCTCCTCTTACATGTAGTGATGAGTAGAATGGTGTTAGATTAAATAGGCTCTTTTTATTGAACAGCCTCTTCACATAATAAGAAGTGTATATTTACTGGATAACATGATTGTATTGAAAGCATGCTCAGAATGTAATTTCCGTAACTGCATGAGAAAAGAATCATAGAATCATAGAATGGTTAGGGTTGGAAGAGACCTTAAGATCATCTAGTTCCAACCCCCCTGCCGTGGTCAGGGACCCTCCTGACAGACCATGCTGCCCAAGGCTCTGTCCAACCTGGCCTTGAAAAAATGAAATCCTGTTCTATTCAACCACAAATACTCCTTCCCTTCATGTGGATAAGCAGCAGGACTGAATCAAGAAGAATCAGAACCACAGAACAATTCCAGTAAAAAATAAATCTAGAGGAGCAGGGAACCCAAAAAAGCCCAGTCACATTCACCCTTGTGTAGCCATTATTGGCCAAACCCAGACATAGCCAAGTCTTTTATATGCAATGGGGTGGAGAGATTTGTTTTGGTTTAAATTATATCAGTGTTTTTAAACTTCTATTTTCAAAATTCTGCAAAGAGATTATTAGTTTATGTAGGCTTGACTGAATATTATATACTCAATTCAATGATGTTTCATGTGCACTTTTGCAGTCAAACTCTGAAGCCAAAAACTTCTTTTCATCAAATAAACCCACTTGACTGATGTTTTGAACAATTTGTGCCACTTAGTTTTCACCTACAGTAACAGTGAAACACCCACATCTTAACAGCATGCATGCTAGATAAGGTGACTATAACTTGTTAAATAGCATTGACAAAATTCTAACAAACTGTCAAAATGTCCACATTAATACCTTCATGCCTGTAGCTTTAACTCTCTCTCTTGTATAAAAAGGGATAACAATGGATGCAATTTCCTCACTAAATTTAATTCAGACTGAACATACCATGGCAAAGAACTGTTACTTGATTTGTCTGATAAGCACAACAATCACCTTTACTGCCATGGAAGTAAATTACATAAGAAATGGTCAAATAATACAGCAAGCTACACAAATGCAGTACACATACAGTTCCTTGACTTGTGCTCATTTGCTTTAGACACAAGATACTCAAAGTTGACTAAGTTTCTGCAGACACAAATGACTCCCTTCTACAAATGCAAGTCTGGAAAGATAAAACTGCAATCCCCATTAGAAATAACTGTTTTGATCAACTTAAAATAAAAAAGCTGTATTAAAATTAATAAACAGAACTCAGGGCAGAGCACCTTCAATCTCAGAGAGAATACTCAAATGTCACTGAAGACAACCACAGTGAAATAAGGGCACCCTCATCAGTGAAAAAAGCATAAAAACAGTAATGCCTTCTTACTGTCTCAAAAACACGATATTGAAAATATTCTTCCTCCGCATTCTAGCAGAAACTACTGATAGCATAATGAAGAATAAATTCTTAAAAGCTTCCAAAATACAACTTCTGATAAGGGAGAAGAAAATATTTATGTAACTAAAATTCACACATAGAATGCAAAACTATAATAGTTCAGATTCTACTGAATGTATCTTTTATTATTTGAGAGGTGGAAAAGTACCAAGATACAAAACCTTGTTGCAGTGATAGCAAAGACATTCTGCTTTGAAATCATGAAAACATAAAATGGTTGTTCTGATGAGCAGATACTAACCATCAGTACCATGAGGTGAACTTCTAAACTCTTGCTTATATAACATTTCATTCCAGATAAATGTATTAAAAAGGGGTTATTTGTATTTTAAAATTATTGTGAAGATACAGAAGTCCACCGTTACTAGTTTCATTCACATTTTTCTAAATCTGTGCGCTGTGCACATGCAATAGGCTACATGGCGCTATGTCCATGTCAGATTTATCCCAAATTAAGACCTAATCACAATCAGATTTATTTTTGTCAGAGGAGAAAGTGAGAAGCTTTGTTTTTAAACAGCAGTTTGTAAATCAGATTTTAAAAGAATTACTGTGCTTGAGCAACTTACAGAAACAAAAGTCACAGTATAAAACCTGAGCCCCCTTTTTCCTCTTACTTATGCATCTTTAAGCTTAACTTTATTTTTTCAGATGTGGTTTTTACTGTGCTTTTTCTCCCCAAGACCTACATCTGATGATAGTACAGAAGTAGAGAGTAAGCAGGAAAGCAGATGAAGAATAACTAAAGATCAACTTACTTCCAGAGTAACTCATTAAAATAGAAAAAGTGCAACACTTAATACATTTAAAGAAATTACACATCCCCACAGGCAAAGGAAAAGTAAATAAATACATGCAATACGTACTTTTTTTCCCCTATATCACCAGTCCATGATTTCTTTGTTTAAGCCCATATAAATGTTCCTTTCTCCACCCCTGCAGTTTTTTTTTTGGCTTGCTCTTTAAATACACATTGACAGTACTATTGTTTGAAATATAACTGAGTGATTAGAAAACTACTTTTTATTTGGTTTGGATTAAAAATTTTGTAGTTACTTACCTTGCAGAGTCTGGAACCTGTTATCATTTGGACAAGTCAAAGATCTTTCCAGAATCACAGATCTATTCTGTAGGAGTTTCTCTATGAGTTCAAAACCTTCAGGGCCTAACAGCTCAAATAACTACAAAGAAAACAAAGTCATATGTCATTAGCCAAATTAATGTAAATTTCCAAATAGGACTGTGATAGTTCCATCCCTGGCAACACCATAACTGTTGACGATGAATTTAAACAAATTAATGAACTTTAAATAATTCAACCCAAATGATATCATTGCTAGTATTCAGCCAGATTCTCTATTACAAAAAAGGAAAATTAGAGAAAGTTTTCAACTGGAAATATTTTAAATCTGTGAATTTTGTCTATTAAGGAAAACTCCTCTTAAGAGATTCTTGCATAAAATTTAACTCTTCTCTAGGCTAAACTTTATGTGTCTTTATTATTATTTATATAAATTATGCTGAAAATGTATTCCTTCACAATCTAAGCAGATAAATCAAGAGAACCAATGTTTTCTCATAGAAGTCACATAAATAGGAAGTTATTCCCATTCCAGTGAACTAGAGATGCCTGCTGCATTTTCACAGTCACATCCTACAGAAAACCAAATCACAGATGTGGAGTAAAGCACTAATTTGAAAAAACAATTAAGACCACACTAGTATTGATTTTGGTCTATACTACTAGTATGTACACTCTGTGTGTGAGTGCATGCAATTCGAACACATGATGTAGGTGTTGTACACTAGAAGAGAATTCCATATCAATAAGCACTATTTTGGCCCAATGATTCTCTTACTTCAAGTGATTCTCTTGTAGCAGGTTAGATAAACACATTTCCCTATTTAAAGTTCACTTTTCCACGTAATACTGTTTTTAACGGGAAAAAACTCCACCATTGTCCAAAACATTAAAAGCACTTTTCTGTCTTATCGATAATTATTTTGTCAGAAATCAAAGCATTACTATACAGCAATAAGTTACTCAGAACCCATTCTTGGTTTCTAATACTGCTTAAAACAATTTTTCTCCATTTTTTTCCATTTCCAGAAAGAAAAACAGGGCAATTTCTCCTTAGTGCTCTTTAAGTTTGCTGCTAATATTTTTCATATAATTTCAGGAATCAAAGTTATGTACTTTGATGTGACGTTCTGTGAAATAGTAAGGCTGCAGCACTGTAGGAATCAAGTATTTCTGTTATAACTATAAAAAGGAGAGAGAAGTCACTCACTGTCCTATGTTTAATTTGCCAGCTCCTTAACAGAGAGGTTTCTGTGGCTGTCTGCGACTAGTGTCCTCTGGGAACACCCTGAAATAACTTTATGCTGCCTCTTCATATATTCACAAAAATTTGAACAGTGCCAAGGGCATTAGATCCATGATCCCTTTTTTTTCAGGCCAATCTGTACTTCACAATATAAGCTGCCATTAAAAATAAGAAGGGAAAAAAAAATGTGCCTCCTGGCCCTCAGGGTTTCTATGAAAAACATAAGGTTTGTGCAAATTAGTACAGTGATGGCAACTTGCACAGACCATAAAAAAAAACCCTCTGAAAAGTATAAATTATTGTATTGCTTTCCATAGAGTAACCAATGATGGCAAATTGGAAAAGCAGCCTGCAAAACAGGGAACTGCTGGCTTGATGTCAATTGTGCCTTCAAGGACCTCAGTCTATGATGGATTTCTTTTTTACCCAGCCTTCACTAACAATGATCATTAATTCTTGCCTTTTGCACAGCTGTTTACTGCTTCTTTAGAGCCACATTTTAGCTAATACTACCTAAAAATATTATGGGGTTTATATTTCCAAAGAAAGTGGCAAATTTGAGGAGTAGGTATTTTCCAAGGGTAAGTGCTTAAGTGCAGGGTGTGTGCGTGTGTGTGTGAAATAATTCCAAAAGCAACAAGCGTATTTGAAATAGCTTAATTGTATAAAGAACTGAATAGAAGTTTGTCTCAACTTTGCTAATGTTCCATTGACAGGGGAGTACCAGAAAGAACAGGGGAATTAAATGCTTTCAATTCAACCACATCTGAGTTTAAACACTTGCTTCTCATCAAGGCAGCACACACAATGTATGCATATTCAGACTTACCATGTTGCCCGCACAAACCATAATAAAACCATACCACCACCCCATCATCCCCCAAAGGCAAACAACACATTAGCCCTAACATAACCAGTGTTGACCTTCAGCTTTGCACAGGGCTCCAAAGCATCTCTATCACAGGAAGCTGTTGAGAACAAGCTAGAAAAGCTTTACTCAGAAAATAGGGTTTTGCTGAGGAAATAGATGACACTTTATTTTGGAATGGAAAGGTATTTTTCCACTCCTGTTTTTCCATTATATTCTGAAACAAAAAAAAAAGTGCCTGTATCAAAACTATTTCAACCAATTAGAACAGCAGAGCTACACAAAGAAGCAGTAACATTACATGATGCATTATACTTCATGGTCAGAGGTCATGAAGTAAAACCAGTATCCCTTCCTCCATCCCCTGTGAGCTAGGGGCTCAAAGGAAGAGTACCAAGGTAAAACTGCCTATCTTACTCTCCAGACAGCAAACCGGCCAAAGAGAACTGAACCCATACAGTGTTACACACAACAGACTACAACACTCTTGTTAAAGTCACTCCATCTTCTTGTCTTGCTCAGTGGACAGAATATGGTATTCATTCGCTACCAGCAGTTTGAGAATTATCACCTGAATAATCTTGCTGCTGTGTGAAAAGGAAGGAGTCTTTCAGAACATTTTAAACAGCTAAGACAAGACTGAGACCACTGTTTGAGGGGAGTGAGGGGAGGGGAAAAAGCTAAAGAAAAGAGAAGACCAGAAGCAATGACCCGTTCTTATTGACAAGATATCTCCCATGCCCACTAGAAGCCTGCCAGAGATCACAGATGGAAAACAAAAATTGAGCACAAGTATTAGAGAATAAGCAATATGAAAATAAGTTAAAGAGCAAGATCTGTCACCACCTACCACTGACAGTAAAAATGGGGAGACAGTGGTAGAAAAAGTCTGCAAAGAGCAGAAATAACTAAACTTTAGGACTTGCAAGATTAATATGTTATTAATCATCAGCTATTTTCATACTACTGGAGTAATCCACTGCTATCAAATTAAGATATTAAGAACTACCACAAAATTATGCTGTTTTGAAGTTCAATTCTTTATGTTCTTATTTGTTTAGACTTCCAAAAACACACCAGGGAGTATCCGGAAGCTGTCTACCATTTCAGAAAAACTTCGACATTCATTGATTTTTTTTTAAGCCTAATTTTCAAAATAACAAATTGAACAAAATACTGAACATCATTGAAGATCTCAGCAGCAACAGCACTCTATAGTAACTCATGAAAATCAGTATGAGCTGGAGAAAAAACACCACTTGGGATCTAACTTCAATAAAGTGAATGCTGCAGTTTGACACCTTCAAGAACAGCACAAAATTTGCTTTCTTAAGAAAAACAAAGAAAAAAAACCACCCAAATTTCCACTGTAAGAATAACATTTTTAATATTGACACTACTGAAATTATGCTGATCAAAATTGATAAACATGAGGTAAAGCAAAACTCCATGCAGTTTATCTTACTCAAAAGAGAAAGAGCTGCCAAAGTTTGTACAAAGTAACCACTTCACTACTTCAATCTCACACTGAAAAGCACTTACATTTCATAGTGATAGGTTGACTATATAAATTGAAGAGCAGGAAAGAGAAAAATTTGGAGCTGTGTTGTAACTGCCTTATGCCTACTAGGAGAAGTGAAGTCCCATGGCACAAGAAAATATCTGACCAAGTAAAAGTGGTCTTCTTTCACCAGGATATATCTTTCCTACAGTAGTTTTGGGTTTTGATGCTATAAATTTCAGTTACCAACATAAACTGGAGTGCCTGAACCAGCTTCAAAAGAGCAAAATCCACAACACCCTTCCAGTACCTAACTAAATGCTGACTTAGTCCTGACCACTGCCATAGTTAAGTCTCACACATGGATGTTCAGATGGGGGCACAATGTTGAAGTAACTGCTTATGAAAGTTGTTTTGCATGCTGATTTACAAAAGACAATATATTATTTGTCACAGGAGGCCATGTCATTTTCTAATGCACAGAACAGGCTTCCTCATGACGATGTTTAAGGCATTGCCCTACTATTCCTCAGACTATGTCCATAAAGAATCAAACTCCACAAACAGTAGTGAAAGAAAAAAAAGTAATGATTTATGTAAAATGGAAAGCTTAAGAAAGTTATGAGGCAAGCTGTCAATCCTATCTACTTTTAAGCCTCTCTAAGTGATGAAGCACTAACACCCTATAAGCTGTGTTGCTCCTTTGGGCAAATACAGTGTAAGTGTAAAAATAGTCTAAGCTGCACAGAAATTCCTAATATTCACTAAAGAAAAGGAGAACTTCTTCAGAGGTTTTATGCTGAGGATTCTGCTTTCTCTTCTAGAGAAAAAAAGACAAACTGAAAAACTGTGATGCATTTCTAGCAATTTATGTAGCTTAAGAGGCTAATCTTATGTTTCATTCCAAATGAAATGCCTTCCATTAATCAAACCTCAGAGTTAGCAGAATTGTATTCAGTTCAACAGTCCATGGGATTATATTTGTAGAATTGAAATGCCAACTACAGACAATGCAGTTTAGAAGGACAGTAAGGCTGGGGCCCATGTTGATGACAGCCCAATGGTAGCTTTTAATGAAGAAACTACCAGAGTAACAGAAGTTCTTGGAAATACTTTCAACATTTTCTTGGCAACATACTTACTTCTAACATATTAAGCTTCCACCACTTTCTCTCAAGTGCTCATTTCAACAAGGGGAAAGAGGGAAATTTTTGCTTGAAATAAAGATAGTCATGGTTTGAATGGCAGACACATGTTCCTGGCACTTGATCCTGTAACTTGAATGCTGCTAATGACTTCACATGGCTGATGGAAAAACACTAAACAATATGTAACACAGCATGTAAAAAACAAAAAAAGACCAACCCCAATCAGGTTCTCAGGGTAACAGGTACTTAGATCATGACCCTTTCAGGACAGCCAGGTAGGAAAAAACATCGGTGCCATCTTGTTTGCAAAAATCTGTGAGGGTTCTGACCCACAAAG